CGCCGCATGTGGTGAGGATAGCAAATTCACGAAAGGAGGGATGGTTTTATATCAGGAGGAAGGGGCCTCTTTTCAGAGGACTCACGGCACAAATTTTTGCCCATTCACCAAAGGAGCACTGAGAGATGATAATACTAGAAATTGTTGTATGAATTATTCTTAAGAAAATAGATATTTTTAGGCTTTTTTATGGTTTTAGAAGTTCAAAATCAAGTTGTTCAGGAAAACGGTGTGATAATCCTTATTAAATAATTTTATTTAGAAGCATTTTTCAAATTTCTATCACCTTAAAAACCTTTCTAAATATTTCTTTATTTATATTTATTTTACATTTGAATCCCTCCAATTTAGTAACATTTTTTTCCTGTGCACTTGCGTTTGCATCCTTTGGTCTTGGGGGACTTGTTTTGACCATTCCCATTCCCCAGAGAGAGGGAGCACAGAGCCTGGTCTTACTTAGTTGCTGTGTGTGGGCTCCTCCAGGTGGAGGTTGTGGGCCAAGAAGGGGCTGAGGCATCTTGAAAATATATGGTCCGTTGATTACCGCTTGCTGTGATTTTTGATTATGCAGTTTCCGTTTCGTTTTTACTGGTTTTTCTTTCGTTTTTGCATATGTAATTTTGTGGCAGAAAGGCATTCAAGGACTGTTAAACGCAAAGCTTTTGCAGTGCATAATTAGTTTGAAACGCATCATAACCGAGTCGGAGAGTTCTTAAGGAGGAATTTTTATGGTTCGTATTTCAAGCATAATGACTAAATCAGCTCAATCACCAGTCAAAGGCAACTAAGTAAGCTAATCAGCTTGATATCAAGTTCAATCAATTCAAAACGCAATCTCTTTATGTTCCAAATAAATAAAGATTAACTCTATAATCTAACAATATCCAATCCATTCTCTTTTCTTTTATAAACCACCATGACTAAACAAAACTCGGACCTTGTCTGGCGATTAACCCCAAATAATAGACTCAATTAACCAAAGTAGACAACTCAATAGGTCGCCCAAAAAAAAAAAAGAGTTGGCTAAAGAAATATCGAAATAAATAAATTACAGAAAAAGAGAGAAACACTTTTTTCCAGCAATGACATCATTTGGCATCAGTGTCAACCCACCTTCTCTGTATTTTTCCCCCTATTTCACAAGATGGAAACCCAACCGCAACCCCATCAATTATGCTCGAAAAAGGTAGCCAAAATAAAATGAGCATTCATTTGATAGATTTTGATGTATTGCCGGCAATTTGTTAGGCCTGGCAGAATGCTATTCGGATACGGGAAATTACCGACACGCTGTGAACGGATCATACAAATTAATTAAGTACCGGGGAGATCGATTCATAAAAACTTTAGGGAGTCGGGAGTCGGAGTCGGGAGTCCATGCCAAAGATCAGACCCAAACACGATTCGGTTATTTAGGCCCAAACTGTGTGTCTTACCTTTTTACACGGCTCATTTGTGTGTGTTTTTTTTTGGAGAATAATACAAATAATACGAGCCCAGGTTGGTGTGTAATAAATAGTTTAGCTCGTGGACCGCATGTGGTGTGCCTTTAACCTTTTGTTACTAGCTAACCATGTCTTTTTTTTTTTTTTTATTCGTGGGAGTGGGTGTGTTTTTCTGGCTGGCCATTTGCATCATAAAAGCTTTGGTAGTACAATTGGCATTGGTATAAACGGCTAAGAGCTTTGGAAACTTTTTCAGAGATTTGTCAGGCGTATTTTTGGTGAGCTATGAGAAATTTCATGACAATGAATTATTAGAAAATATATTTTTTAAGTAAAAAAAATTGTCATTAATAAGTTTTGTATAATTTTATACCCTTGCAGGGTATTATAATTTCAGTCAGAAGTTTGCAACGCAGTGAAGGAGACCTTTCCGACCCTATAAAGTATATATATTCTTGATCAGCATCAACAAGGGAATCTTTCTAGATATGCCAGGACGAAATCGATTTTTTGGCCATTTTTGAAAAATTTTCTAAGGGGTTACATCATTAAAATTTTTGATTTTGATAAAAAATTGAATTTTCAAAATTTTTAAATGAATTATGCAGATTTATTAACTGTAGAAAATCTTGCACAGAACAGTTTTCCGATTTAAAATTAATGCTTTTTTGGCCGAGTTATGATATTTTTAATTTAAAAAAAATTAAGAAGTTTTTTAATATAAAAAAACAGATTTTATAATACAAAATAATATTTTTCTAAGTCAAGGAATCATTTCCGACCCCATAAACCATATATATTCTTGATCAGCATCAACAGGGGAATCTTTCTAGATATGTCCGGAAGAAATCGATTTTTTGGCCATTTTTGCGATATTTGATAAGGGGTTACATCATTAAAATTAGCAAAAATGGCCAAAAATTTTGATTTCTTAAAATTTCAAATTTGGTATGCAGTTTTTTTAAATTAATAAAAACTAACACAAAACTGCTTTCCGAATCGAAATTAATGCATTTTTGGCTTAGTTATGATATATTTTAATTGTTACCTGCAAGTGTATACAAACTTTGGCTGGCCAACGTTAGCTTTCTTTCTTGTTTTTCTTATATTGAGAAAATATTATATATTTTAAAATTATTTTAAAGACTTTTTTTTAGAATTTTTAAAATTTATTTAATAAATTTATAGCATTTTAAACCTTATTTTGAAGTATTATTTACTCTGTACTAAACATTTTTTCTATCAGCTCTATCAGCTCTTGTGTGACCCCCTAAAGCATGCCAAATCCAATGAGTTTTATTCTGATTTCTACATAATTAAGTTGCTAAACCCGACCCAGTTTGATAAGCAAAACAACAACAGATTTTTGACATTATTTGTGAAAGAGCCTAGGCCGCTAGTTCTATTTTTAGAACACGGGCTCTCTTTGAGTTTGGGAAGAGGGAGAGAGTTGGGTGTGATTCATAGGGGTGATAATTCTCGGATCATTCAAGGGGCGTCGGTGGTGTAATGGTCAGCATAGTTGCCTTCCAAGCAGTTGATCCGGGTTCGATTCCCGGCCGACGCACAAGTAAATTTTTTTTCTAAAAATTTAAATTCTATATTTTATAACCATTTTAACCTCAATATATCTATCTCAAATCATTTAAAAAGAAACATTGTAACCTTCTCCTATAATGTATCATATATCCAGTTGGTTTTCCCAATTTCCCCCTTTTTCCTACATTTTTTTTCGCAACCATTTTAAAAGCAATATTTGGTTGTGTTCTCTGCAGCTGCGCCGTTTTGCTCTACGTTTTTGGCATTTCAATTGGCATTTCATTTGGCTCGCAGCGCATTTTGTTTATTTGGCATTCGCATATTTATGCCCGCTACTGTCTGTGCCTGTGTCTGTGTATTATGATGACCGTTGTTTTCCTTTTGCTGCCCACTGTGTCGGTGTGTTTTCCCGTTTGTGTTTGCTCTGCGGCATCTTCACAGCTGAGTGATTGCGGCCCAATATTTGTCTTTGTCCACCAGCAGCCAGGGGTTAAAGGGGTCACGAGGTTCGATCGGTGGTAGGTTCCATTTGTAATTGTAATTTTTGGCACATACGCATAAATGAGTTCAACTCAAACAGAAAAAATAAATAAATAAACAATGAAACAAAAATTTTAAACATATTGACGATGGCTAAGGGATAAGTTTTCTTTTATTTCTACTTAGCTGTTAAAAAGGTATTATACATCTTTCTAAAGAGGGATTCCATAAGCCAGGATAATCACAATCGGTTAGTATAGGGAAACCACTACTAAATATTACCATCTTAAGGAAGATGATGGTGAAGAACCCAGCGCTTAGGTTCATGTTTTAAGATCCAATCTACAACTGAAATCTTTGAAGTATCGTTTCCACACAAAAGACCTGTATTTAAACCAAAACGAATGCATTTTCTTAGGTATTTAATATTTTTAAAACAAATAGGTACTAAATTGATTAGTTCCTCTTTAATAAAAACAGAAGAGGAATTTCATGGAATTTTAAGCTTCATCGCCTTGAGATCCTAAGCGCTTTGGCTGTATAAACAACCAATTACCGTCTGGCATATCCCTCCTCCAGATCAATCGCTGTCATCTCATTCTATTTCCACATCCATTTAGCATCTGGTTCAATCAGCCGGCTGGCCAGGCTCTCTCTCGGCATTAATGTCTCTGTTAAATTGCCGGCTAAAACCCAACGAGCTGTGGAGTTTAATTAAAAAGAGAGAGAGCCCAGGATACCGCCTTCCAGCTCTCATATCAATTACGCAGGCGATTAAGCCAAACAAACTGCCAACTGATTGGCGATGCATGCCAAAGCCACAACCAAAGGTCTAAGAAGATGAGAGGAGTCTTGAGAAATGCACAAGCAAAAATATAATAAATTTAATTAAAGGATTACACATTTTTAGCTTAGGTATGAAATTTATTTATTAAAAAAATATAAAGAATTAAGCCTTAAGTCCCAGTGCCTAATTTATTTTAATGTTTATACCTTTCCATTTAATTTTAAAAAATTCTTGGCTCTGTGCATAGGTGCTTGGTGTGGTTTTTTGGTCGTGTCTTCGTTAGAAAAATGGCCAGTACCCAAGGCGGCGGGGTCTAGACCGCGTTACGCACACGAATTGTCAACTGGTTAAAGGAAACTGGTTAAGAAAATTGCTGCCTTGATTGCATGTGAACGCCGGCAACACGCAACACACACACAGCACAACCATATTGGCCATCATCGGAAGACGGGGTTTTAGGCCAACTTGTAGCTAGCCTCCAACGGGGCCTTAATTTGGCTTAAATGGCCAACCAAATTGCATGGCTACCTCAACACTATGCAAATGCATTTTCCACTCTCTGTGTGTGTCTGCGTGTAATAATTTTCCAATTTCATGCAATTTAATTTCCGTTGTCATGCGGCAGGCCAAGTATTTTTCGCCAATTTCTGGCCTCGAAATTTCACAGTCGCAATTTTCTTTGTCATGGTGGAAAGTTAATTGCATTTTGTTGTTAATATGTAATTCCATAGCTTAACCGTTAGTATCCCGGAGAAGCGTTAACTTAAAAGGCTGTTAAGGAAAATATTTAGAATTTAAATTAAAAAATCAATTCAGAGTGTGAAAAGGCATTTACAGTCAAAAATGATAAAGAAGATGTTATATTTAAACTAAATTAAAACGTTCTAGAACTTCTATTAAAAACCTTAAACTCAAGACTTGGACTTCATATCCTCCACCACCGATCGCATATATATCTTTGGCTTCTTGGCGGGATCATAGTACTCGTGTCCCTTGGACCAGTCGTAGCCCACGGCATAGGCAAACACTCGGCCATCGCCGCTGAGCGAGCACTTGGTAATGGACTCCGAATCCTGGCTGCTGCTCTGCATCATTCGTGAGCGCTTTGTACAGTCCCAGAACTCATAGCTGCCATCGGAGCCCACCGTGGCCAGGGTCTTCTGTTCGTGGTTCATTTTAATGTCATTTACCGCATAGAGATCGTAGTGACTACCGGTAGTGTGCTTCTTGCGATGACACTCGAAGGACCACGTGTCGTGGACATGGGGCTGCACTGGCTGCATAATCACCCGGCCATCGGTCTTGGCCAGAAACCAGCCAACTGGCTGCTGAGCTGTTGAGCCTTTGGTTATGGCCACGGCTCGCACCTGGCTATTGGTGGCCCCAATGGATGGACAGTCCCATTGCCGCACCTCCTTGTGGCCTCCCTCGATGAAAATGGTCAGCAGTTTCTTGTCGGAACAGGCCACCACGGCCACTGTGTTCAGAGCATCGGAGGCATATGCCCTACCCGGAAGATTCACTTCGGCGATGGACGAATCGCAGCGCGGATCCCAAAACTGTAATAAAAAGGAGATAAAGGAGAAAGGAAAGATTTCTCCACCCACCTTAGCGGTCTTATCCCAGGAGGCGGTCATCAGGACCTGCGAAAGCATCAGGTTGCAGCACTGCACGCCCGCCTGATGGTTGCCGATCTTGGTCAAGGTATTGGTGGCCACATCCAAAGCTTGCACTTTGCCGGTGACATCGCCCATGTACAGCTGGCTGCCCTCCGAGCTCCAGACCGCATCAAGGACAGTTGAGTCCATCATGTGCAGGCATCGCGGAGCAGCGCCACCCGTCTCTGTCTGCACTTCCCATACCCTTACCGAGTTATCCCAACTGGCGGCGGCCAGCCTGCTGCTCCAGCCGCTTTTGAACGGCCCAAACTCCAGCGCCGATATGGAATCGGTGGGCGGCTCGCATACCTCAATATCCTGTGACATGGTTTTAGCAGGTGAGAAAGGTAGAAATTTACAAAAATGTTTTATCTAACTTTCACGAACTTTGTTTTTAGAAGAAACTTAACTGTCAAGGAAGACTGTTTGTTAGGGTTGCTAGAATTTTTGAAAAATAAATTAAAAAATAATTCTATAAAATGCAAGTAATTAATTTTAAAGAATTTCATAGTCAGGAAAACTATTTCTGCTATAAAAATCCTAAAAAAACCACAACTAAAAGAACCTCCTTTGGGCCACAAGAACATCCCATGGCAAATTCCCCCGTTCACATTCACAGTCACCCGCCATAAAGTGGACAATTCATGGCTCCGCGGTGGCGGCATCCACAGACACAACCCCGCCGACAACAATTTCGTTCTCACCTTGATCCCAATCAACCTCTGGTGACATCGGCCACCTCCTTGCAGCATCTCCTCCGATCGTGCGACATGGTCACCGCATAGCACTGAAGCTGGAGCTGGAGTCTCTCTCTTCGCTTATTTTTATTTCGCCTGTCGACGGCTTCATGGCCAACTAATTAGGAGGCCGCGATCCTCTTGGCCCGACGTTGTGGCAACAGCAGCTGCGGCATACCATAACTATCTATATACGGGTTTGTATAGACATATATATATATATAGTATAGTATAGTATATGGCCAACGACAAATTTGTGGAAAATTGCTCATGTGGTGCACATTCTAATTCTATTAGCCAAAAGCACCGCAAGGCAATTATGAAGCTCAAGTGGATGTTGCCGGTTGCAAGTTGCTTACTGCAGAGAGAGAAATGTTGATATAGAACATTTTATATATATTTATTAAAGTAAATTTTCTACCAAATAAAGTGAGAAATAATATTCTTTATTTATTATTCATATACCAAAAATACCTAAAATTTTCTATATTGTCTATAGAATTTTATTTCCCTGTAGTTTCGAGTTGCTCTCAGCCTGATGCCTTTAATTTCCGTACGCACAGCTTGCAAATATATTCCTGGCGAGTGGTTGAGGAGGAACTGGAACGATCCCATGGCCACTGGCCAGTGGGTTGAGTTACTGTCCGCTTTTGTAATTTACTACCCGGAATGGCCCCTCTGGGTACCCACTGGGGGGGACGACTGTGTTAAAACTTTGGCTTACGCGCAAATAAATAAGTTAAAAAATACAGCAGATAGCCTTTCTCTACTGAAGTCAGCTACCAGATACTCATTACCCCATATAATACCCATCTGAACTATTAGACCTATTTCCACAACCCCCGAAAGTATGCCGAGAATTGAAACACATTTAATCACCCAAAAAATATGTAGAGTCAGCAATTTCTATAAATAAATACTGTAGCTAAAAAACCTCATACCTTTCGGCACAATGTTAGCCACAGTATGTATAAAGTTACAAAGCAAAAATTTGCATGCCATTTATATTATTATTTTGCCTTGCTGTGTTGTGTGTGAAATGCCTCTACGAAAAATTAATATAAACACACATATTTTGTGAAATATTTTAATTAAAATACTTGATTAAGGCCAGCGACAGTGGAACTTTTGATGCACATTTATTAATATTTGCGCGTTTTAATGCTAGTCATCAGCTTAATATTTAACTAGCTTAATGTGAAAGCCATAAAAAGTTGATAAAACTATTTACATATCAACTATCACATTTGCTTATACAACCACACACACAACAGAGTGAAAGATAATTAAATTGATGGATAAAATTTATAAAGGGACGATCAAAAATACCCTTTTTTAAAGAAATATGTGTAATTATATTTTCTAGAAATTTCTTAAGAAAATTTAGAAATTAAGTTCGAAATTAAGGAGATATTAAAAATATTTATAATAACAAATAAAACCTAAAAAAATTAATATTCTAGTTATATTTTAAGACTTAAGTGTCTTCAAAATGAACTTAAAATCGAATTAAATTCTTAAAAAATAAATCTTTAACTTCTTGATAGAGTCTGCTTAAAATCTGAAAAGTAATGCCAGTAAAAATCACAGATAATAACGATTTATAAATCTATGAAAATCTTAGAGTATAACTGATATTTTTCCCTAAAAAGAATCATTAAAAATATGTAAATAATATACATTAATTCCTCTTCAAAACACCTTAATAGAGCATTACATTTTCCACTATTTCGTAGAAAACTCAATACGAAAAAGTCTGCCAATGACGAGGAGTTCAACTCGAAAGGGGAACCGAGGCCATGGCCTGGCCTGGTTGATTCTGGCGGAAAAGATGAGCTGCGGAAAAGTGAGGGGCGTAAATAACTCTCGGCTGAAATGCAGATGATTATGATATTTGCCAACTGGCAGCAAACTTTTTTAATAAGTTTGTCAAAAGCAAAGTCTGGAGGCCTCTGTCGGAGTCTTCTCTTCTCTTCGCCTTATTTTTTCCTTGCTTCGAAAACTTGTCGGCTTTTCCGCCTGCTCGTCGTTTGGCATTTGGAGCCGTTGAGCAAGTTTTTCCGCAGGCACACAGTTGTTCGAACAGAAAACCCATTGACCTTTGACACCTACGCAACACCTACATGGCTGAGATGCTTGTTTCTTTTTTGTATTTTTTATTTTACAAACAAATTTAAGCAATTACTCTCAAAGCAAATAAGCAATCATCATAAATATCATTTTATTTATTTATGTTGCGGCAGCTCATAAATTTCCGGGATCTTTGTTATTTACAATGAAGAAAACAAGGCAATAAGGTGTTGGGTATTTTTAGGCTCAGCCATTAATTAACTCGAATAGTTGCAAAAGATCACTTGTGCAGATAATTAGTATATATTTTTATTATAATTATAAACTTAAACCTTTAACTTCTTGCTTAGCGAATAAGCAGCTGCTGGCTGCTCTTTTTTTATCTTTACCTGGCACTCTCACTCTCGCTCTCCCTCATTGCCTACCCTTTCATCATCATCTCTTCCTCTCTCTGCCTCTCTGTTTTCGGTTTCTCTTATCTCCCTGGCCTTAGCTTTACTAGGGTTATTTTCTGAGCCAAATCAAGCGGCGTCGGTGGTGTAATGGTCAGCATAGTTGCCTTCCAAGCAGTTGATCCGGGTTCGATTCCCGGCCGACGCACAAGTTTTTTTTTTTTTAATTTTATTTTTTTATTAAAATTAAAAACTACAATTTTTTTTCTTCTTTTTATTGTGGTCTTAATTATTTTAAATATTCCTGATTTATTCTGCCTTTAGTTAATAAATGCTAAAGCTTTCAAATACAAACGATTGCTTATGTTTTCTTCAACTGAAAATAATGTTATAAAAAACCAGCAGCTATTTTTGACTATTTTAAATTAATCAACAAATTTTAATTTAGTTTAAAATTTGATCTTAAACACCCCCAATTAAGTTTAAATTACTAATGGTTTATGTTTCCCCACCTAAAACTTATTGACTATCAAATATTTGCTTTGAAAATTTCATTATGCCAGCGAGAAACCCTCAAGATGTAAATATTTAAGCCTGCAATTTGGTTTTCGCATTCAAAATGAACTTATTTGTGAGGACCCAAGGTCAATGAACGATGGGACATGAATATACTTACACTAGCCAGGACAGGCCGTAATTAGTATGCCGTTTGCGTAAGGCAAAAGCATTTTGTTTGCACTAAATTCAGCATAACAGATTTCAAAGAGAGCACTAAACACACAGTCAGAAAAAAAAGAGAGTTTTATTTTATATATATATATATTTTATAAATAGTATTATGTATATATTAATTTATTCAGGCAATTAGAGTGACAATCTGCTTGTAGGTGCCATTACAATTTTTTTAAAAGGTTCTCAAAATATTTTAAAATATTTTAAAGCAATTTCTTTAAATAAAAATCAAAACAAAATTAATGCTATTCGACTTTTTCTTGTTTCTCCTGTTTCCTGACACTTCATTTGCTATTCATTTCGCCGCTGCTGTCGTCCCTGTTCTTGACTTATGCGTATTACTGCAAATATCAATTAATGCCGAAAACGTGCGTGAAATATCCAAATTCCGGAGCTGGACACGCACACTGACCTTGGGTTATATATAGTGAAGACCCATGTGGAGTTGGAGATCGAGTTCGAGCAGTGGTGGTGGCGTTGGTGTGGCAGATAAGGACTCGCAGACGGCTAACATAATTGATTTGCAGCTCCGATTTATGTGTCTGCTACGTATGTAGCTGATACGGGGCGGGGTGACAGGGTCAAAGTCACGCACTTAATCGGAAATTTCAACTTGCCCCTTGGATTGCCTTTGAATATTGCCCAAGTCTCTACCATTGTGGTTTCTGGGATAAGCAAAGTGTGCCTCAGGGGACTTCCCTATTTGAAGAGGAGCCACAATTTGCTTTGGTTAACCAGTAATTTGTATTTAATTACTGAAATTTAAATATTTATTATTATTTTTCAATTTTTCAATTAATTGTCTAATTTTTATTTATGTAACACAACGGACATTTAACACAGATCTTTTCTGATTCATCCCAATAATAAGGATGATAACATCTTGGGTAACCACTAATCAAAATCCCCATTAAAAGGAAGATGATGGTAAAGAAGCCAGCGCTCAAGTTCATAGTTCTAAAACTAAAACCCTTAAGGTTTTTAAACGAATGCCCTTTCCCTGACCTTTTAAATTTAACATAACAAATTCTAAATTGATTAGTTCCTCCTAAAAATACGGTATAATTTACATTAATGCGCTGCATGTTTGTTTACAAACTATTATTCGGTTTTCACTTCAACTATTATTACAAAACAAAAATTTTAATTCGTGATTTTATTAATTCTGCAGAGCAAAGTACTCATAAAAGACTCATTTTATTTTCTCCCACCCATTTTTTTCTAAAACGGAAACAATAAATATATATAAAACAATTAAGTCCACAAAACAAAAAAGTTTATAAACAATTTGCGATTTTATTATTACTAACAGCTGAAGAAATCCTTAATATGATAAGGAATCCACCTACAGTAACATTTTCCACATTCTAAACAGAACTTTCCTTTTACAATACAATCATCACCACTACTCAAGTTCACCATTAAAAGGCAGATGATGGTAAAGAAGGCGATGCTAAAGT